TTCAGCACAGATTTCATTAGAATTAGGTTGTTTTTCCTCATTCCAGTAGACAAACTTGTTCCTATATTCAGTTAAAACAATTTCCTTTCATGCAATGAACTTCAATCCTTCAAGTTTATGCAAGGTATCGTTTTCTTTTTATTTGTAATTAATTTAATGTTTATGTTAAGTAGCATTGCTTCAATGATTACTTATGTGGCCTTCATGCCTCTTTCCAATTTCAAGTCCTTCAATTTATTCACTGTTCACGTCATTTATTTTATTGTTAATGTTTAATTTCAGTGTTAATTAGGTTTAAGATTCCAAATCTGCAGCAGTTTAATTTCCAAATCTGTCAATGGATTGCACTTTTAATTTCACCATAAGCATGTTTAATTTAAATTGGGTACATTTCTTTCTCATAAGTTTATTTTAAATTACAAATAATTTAGAGTAATTAGGATCTGTTAATTTTAAGTCACGGTAGTGTTTAAGTCCTTGGAGTTGTCCAAGGCAGATTTCGTAACCCATTCTGCAGGAAGGTATCCCTCCCTCTTGCAAATCGTCTGAAGGCGCAAATTTCATTTTAATCCAACGTTCTTCCCGCCATCTGCGAAGAGATCGACCGTGAGAAAGGAGAGGGTCGTTGGGAAAGTCCTCCTTTCTTACTTTCAGCAAAGTAAGTGGCACGCCCGCATCAGATTTCACACGTGCGAGGCCACTAGAGGATTTTTGAGGAAACAGTTACTAAAGAAAATTACAAGATGTAACAAAATTTTTTGTCACAATTAATTCACAATTGAACTTCAAAAAATAAATAAATAACTAACAACAATATTAGTCACTATAAATTAAGTAAATATTTGTGACTAACAAAAAATTTGCCACAAATAAAAAAATTCCATCATAAGTAAATTTGGTAACGAGAACACTGAAGCATCACAAGAATAAAAGGTTTTTTTTTTTTAAACTAATATAATCCATAATTTGTGAAATGTAGAAATTCATAATTTCTTATAGATAAAATCAGCATTATAAAATTAACATTTCTAGAAAAAAAACATAAATTATTATTTTCTTAGTAGATTTAATACAATTTAATCAATTTTTTTAATTGCAAAATAACAATTGTAGTCCCCCAATAATATTTTGTTTACATTTTAATCCTCATATTCTAAATTCATTCAAATAGGCCCTAATGTCACATTTTTAATTTCCTGTTTCCTCACTCAACCTGTTTAGATTTTATAATTAAATTCTTAAAAATTTTCATTTCTTTCATTGAAACTAAAAGAAAACTCATTATAAGGAACATCAAATATGAAACAAATAGAGAACCTAGCTAAAGAGATCTAAATTTATAATAAAAATACAGCAACAAATTATTGGAAAAGCAAACAAATAAAA